TGCAATGATTAGAGTTTACATGAGTGCTGACTTAGGAACTGGGTTATCTGACTTGAAGAGTCCATTTTTGGTATTCAGGCCTATTTTATGATGTATGATGTACTGACTTAAGAGGAACAGTTGGTGTAGTGGTTAAGGCATTGGACTCCCATATAGTCAATCATGATTCAAATCTGGGACCCGGCAGCTTGAAACTCACACTAGGGACTCAGCAGGCACAGTCAACCGCTGTTGGAGTCCCAGATGCGGTGACTTAAAACTCATGCCAGGTACGTGCACGCACATGCCCAAAACCCAAGAGGCGAATGGAGAAGGGATGGTGGCATGGCTTTCTCCCTGGGGGATGATTTCTCATTTTCTGTATCTGTCTCACCAGCAAGTGCTGATGCCCTATAGCAAACATCTTTTTAGGTGGCTCCTGTGTGCACTGAGGATGGCTGTGGCTGAGGCCTTACTCCGGGTCTTGGTTGCTCACATGTGAGCACCATTCCTTGGGAGGCATTTCGGCCTCTGCAGCCTTTAGACCTGCAGCTTCTGGAAGAACTTGCTTGACAAACCTATTGTGGTCTGGTTTTGGACAAGCAAAGTTTGACTTTTGTGCCAGTTCCTCATACCAGGTGCCTGTCGTCACCCAATATGCGCCCGATTTTAAGGGTACAGTTGTCAAGGGAGAGTTCAAAGACTTAAGTCTTGATGACTTTAAGGGGAAATATTTGGTGCTTTTCTTCTATCCTTTGGATTTCACCATTGTGTGTCCTACAGACATTGCTTTTAGTGACAACTGAATGAATTTCATGATGCAAACTGTGAAGCTGTTGCAGTTTCACTGGACTCTCACTTTAGCCATCTTGCCTGGACAAATACACCAAGGAAAAATGGCAGTTTGGGCCACATGGACATCACACTGTTAAATTTAACTAAACAAATCTCTCGAGAATATGGTATGCTGTTGGAAGGTCCTGGTCTTGCACTAAGAGGTCTCTTCATAATTGACCCCAATGGAGTCATGAAGCATTTGCCAAAAAATTAAAATTTGTACAAAATATTCTAAAAAATTTATCTGAAGGTAATGAAGAGCGACCAAAAGCAGGCATAAGTTAGAAGGGAGTTCTCTTAAGAAAGGAATTATTTTTACTGGCAGAGGGTATACGTGTGCTCACCAGAGAGAGGAGGGAAGGAAGGAGGGATAGAGCAACAATCTCTCAAGCAGCGATTGTCATGCTATCTTTTTTTCCTCTCTTCCATCAGGATTTTGTGTATACATGTTCTCACATCCTTCAAGCCAACAGGGCTGAGATTCAAGCCATAACTGGCCATGTGCATACCACCTATCCACTATACCATGGGGCCAGCCAGGAACTGTATTACTTTTTTTAAGAGAGATTTTTGCTATAGGACGCTTGCACTCACTAAAAAAAGAGAGAAAGCAAGCAAGAAACCACCCCTGTTGGGACGGCCATGCCACAATCCCCTCTCCTCCATTCTCCTTTTGTTTTAAGCACATGTTTTAAGCATGAGTTTTAAGCTGCCTGGTCTGAGACTCAAACTGCAGTTGGAGTTGACTATGTGGGAGTCCAGCAATGTAAACATTACACCATCTGCTGGTCCCGAGGAACTGTATTCTTAACATCTTTTTAGTATCTTAGGGCAAGCTCGTGTCAGTGTCATTAAAAATAATAAAAGCTCATATAACAGCCTATAGGCTGTCTTACTAGCTGAATGAATTGGAAGACAAAGATTAGAGTGACCTAAGAATCTAAAAAAGAAAAGGAAATCTTGAAATTTCAAGTGCGAGCCTCAATTCTCATACTGATCCCAGAACTCCATGTTTATGACTGACTTCAAATAATCCAGATAAAATGATGAGAACTAAAGAGAGGTTTTACCTATGTCTATTGCAAGGAGACAGAATTTGAAGCTTGAGGTCAACCAAGTTAACTGCTTATTAAATCAAAATTCTTCAGAGGAAGAAAACAAAACCTACAGTTTCTACAATGTTCAGGATACCAATCAATTATATGAATAGATACATAAAGAAACATATATAGAAAAGAATATATATATTCTCAAAAGAGAAGTCAACCAGTGGAGAATGATTCCCAAATGACCCAGATGTTGAAATTAATAGACAGATTTAAAAAACATTCTGTGTCCCACTCAAAAAATCCTCATGATGGGTAAAAGACCACAGCAGAGATAAAGAATCTTATCAATAATTAAAGATCTGATGAAAATTCTAGAAGTGGAAAATAGTGTTTGAAACAAAAAATGACAGACAGTACTGTGGCAATAATAATGAGTCAGTGAACCTAAAACAATTCAAATGACCTAATCTAAAAATATGAGCAATCAAAATAGGTTAGGGTGTGGAGAGCTTTATCTTTGGTTAGTGATTTTAATCCCATCTTATTGGGTGTGTGTGTGTGTGTGTGTGTGTGTACATGTGTACTTTAGATAGGGCCTTGTGTTAGATCCTCTTGCCTTGGTCTTCCAAGTAACTGGGACTACAGGCGCAAGCCACAGCACCTGCCTTTTAGGATGGATGGGAATGGAACCCAGGCCTCCTGTATGGCTTCAGCCTGGTGAGCAGCAGCGCTCAGTATGCACTACTGTGGCTGGGCCTGCAATCTTATTGATAAGGTTACTAAACTGCAACATCAGGGAGATGCATAGCCAGAATGTATTTGGATTTCAGTTGTGCCATAAAATTTCTCATATCATGTAGAAGATGGAATATGTGGACTAGATGATGATATTTAGATGCATTCATTCTTAACTCTGCTTCTCTCCCAAACTGTTTACAAACTCCAGCACTAAAATGGGTTTGTATAAAGTGCAGTGGAAGATAACACAAAGGAACACACACACACACACATTGTTGTCCTTCACTAGCATATAAACTCCATGAGGACAGGTAGTATCTTTTAGTTTGTATTTTCTTGTTGTCAGGATGTGTAATTGGTTTTGCTCACTAGTATGTGGGCCAGAAGTGGGGGGACGTGAGGGTGAGTGAGGAGACAAGAAACCCTCCTTTATAAGGCTGATAACTGGTAGCTTAGCTACCGTGCTTGGAGAGGTGCCAGGTAACTCTTAAATTTGGTGACTAAAGGGTTATAAAGGATAGAACTCAACAGTGTCTGACAAGGGAGGCCAGGTCTCAGTCCTAGCTGTGCAGTGGATTCAGCTTTTAAAAACAAACTGATGTGTGAGCAACCTCAGTCTTGAATCAGAATTTCCCATGATGAAATTCAGGTATCCAGTATACAACCTGCATTTGGAATACTCAGCGGAATTAGATGACATCTGGAATGCTGAGTTGAGAAACTCAGAAAGGGGCCTCAGCATAGTAGACCTCAGCAATGCTTGGTGTCTCAACCTCTTTTAACAGTTCCCATCCCACAAATGAGGATGAAAGCATTATATACATATACATTGTGGCTAAACTGTCCTAAGTAGGGACTTTCTCCTTGCAAGAGTACTGACCTATCTTCTGTTCTGAGTCTTCTCATTCTTCGGTAGCTTCCACTTTCCATCCCACTATTAAGTAGGTGACTTTTTCTCCCCAGTTCTCATTTTAATAGTTGTTTCAATTATCTGTGATTTGGGTAGTATTTAGGAGGTACAAAGCCTTGTCGATTGATTGGACTGGAATTTCCCTTTAAACGTACTGGGTAAGCATCTACTGTATGAAGAAAAGTAAGATTTTGAAGCAGTAAGACAGTTCACACTACTGTGGCTGGGCCTGCCAATCTTATTTTTGATAAGGTTACTAGACTGGTAACTCAGGAGATGTATAGCCAAGATGTATTTTGATTTCAGTGGTGCCTTAAACAAAAGTCCACAAGCAGCACAGTATACATTGGCTTCTTACAGTAGTACTTCATGCTTTATGATAGATCCAGAAAATAAAAAAACTGCTGTGGTGGTTTAAGTGTGTTTCAGTTCCATGTGGAAGACTGCAATTAACTAAAAAGTACACCCATAAAGAATCTTTTTGTTTTATATGATCATTTTTTAACTAGGCTCTTGGTAAAAAATTTAGAACACTAATTTGTGAGGATAAACTCCATTTGTAAAGGCAAACACAGATTGCAGGTAGACCTGGAGCTGAAGAACAGCTTTGATTTTTGGTAAAATTTGCGAGTCCACCGCTTTCTGATCAACCTTGCGCTGCTCTGAAATCTCGTATTTCTCTTTCTCTGTGTCGAAGATCTCATCTTCCTGGTGTCTGGGCTTCCACAGCTTCTTTTTCTTGAAGTAAGCATCGGTAAAGTGCTTTGGGATTTTTACTTTGCTAATATCAATTTTTGTAGAAGTGGCAGTGACAAATGTCTGGTGTGTTCTACGCAGTGGAACTCAATTGAGAATCAGCAGTCCAATTACAAGTAGCAAGCCACTGCTCCGCTGCTTCAGGAAAACTACTCTCTTGCCTCTGTAGTGTACGGTAAAGGATGATCAGAATGGTCCCAGGAGCGATGCTAGCTTGCAGTTTTCTCACATGCTGACTAAAGGGCACATCGAGGCACATCTTCAGTAGGATAATACCTAGGCATTTTGCACAGTTTAACCATGTAGGTACCACCATTCTTGTCTCTACCAACTGGTTTTGTGACAGTCGCAAGAACCTTCTCTTTCTTTTTTCTTTTCAATCCTGGATTTAGTGACCAAGTATTTCCTCTCGTTCATGGCCTTCCTGGAATACATGGCAGACCGGGAGTGTCTGCTGATGCCCCAGAGTAAGACCAAGTTTCAGCTGCAATGGGGCTTCCCCTTTGTGGGCTTTTTAAGCCCTGGGGTAACCCTTTTTAATCTTGCCACTGACATCAGCCTTCTTGGCTTCAGGTTTCTTTTCTCTAGTATCCTGCTTCACAGCTTTTTCACCTGTCATCTTGTATAATGAAAAAGAGAACTCCCCATAAAGAATCTTGATTAAATCTGATTGATCTTGGTTAAACTAGCTACTAGTTAAACAATAATTCTATAAGAGCTCAAAAACTCTATAAAAGTACTTCACTGAACACTTTATTCAGAAAAAACAAACATAAGAAAAAACAAAAATCCAGGTCATTTGCAGTATCTGTCAGCTTTCAATCTGGCTCTCCTGCACAAAAACAAATAGTAAAAATTAACCTATATAAACCATGTCACATATAGTTGGCTTCTAGTAAATAAATATAAAAATACTTAGAAATTCTGTGTTCATTTTCTGTTACTATATTACAATTATATTAAAATATTTTATTAAAATTTTAGTTGATTGTTTCTATACAAAATGAATTCAAATTTTATGTATGTTGTTTCCTAATACTTAACAAATGTTGCCTAAAGACTTTTGCAATCCACAATAATTTTAATTGCTTCTGAATTTAAGTACGCCCTAAATTTCTAATTAATAGGATGGAATATCCTATTTTCACAAGTGACAAAAGTTATAGGGCATACAGTTCATTCTATTTTAGTCTCCATATCCTGATTATATTTTATATCCTCTTCATGATTTTTTGGAATTAGTTCATATTCATTTGCTTTGCTGGAAATAATTCTTATATCGTATACTAACTTCAGGTAAGAATTCTATCAAATTGTTAACAGGAAATATGTGACTAAGCTCTGCCTTTATTAAGTGATATAAAAAAAGGTTGAGTAGTTCTGTAACACAGGACATCAATGAGTGGCTGGAGATTACCAAATTCTCTTTGTATCTGAAATTTTCTCTTTTTATCTAGAATGTATTTGATTTATAGTTGTAAGCTCACAGCTAAACTTCTCTGCCTATTCTTCATGTTGTAAACATAGGGCATTAATTATATAAATAGAATTATTAATAAATACTGGGTCCAGCAGTTAGCGTAATGGCTATGTCGCTGGACTCCCATGTAGTCGACCATGGTTTGAGTCCCGGACCCAGTGGCTTAAACTCATGCCGGGCACGTGTGTGTGCGTGCCCAAGATCCCAGGAGAAGTATGGAGAAGGGACGTGGGGTGGTCACCCCCCTGGGGGGTGATTTCTTGCTTTCTGTCTGTTTTTCTGGCGAGTGCACATGCCCTATAGCAAAAACCTCTCCAAAAAAAAAAAGTAAAAAAAAAAAAAAAAAAAAAGTAATGAATATATATAATATACTGTGATAAATATTCTGCACATTTAGTCATTTTTAAACTGATGTATTGTATCTCATTTATAGAATCCTGTACTACCGTAACAGAATCCATGAATGTAGGTATTAGTCAAGCTATTTCCTTCTAACTCTGGTTCTAATAATTATTTAAAAAAAAAAAAAAAAAAAAAAAAAGGATGACAAATTTTTAAAGGAATAAAGTCTATAAATATTTAGAATCTGGTTATAATTTTTATATATTCTTTCTTGGCTCTCTTTTACCAGATGTATGATGTAGATAATATGGTCATATTCACAAATTAGAAATAAAGACCAAATTTGAAAATTATAGTAGTTTAGAAAGAGTATCAGTTATATACACCACTTCTATTGATTACTGAAAATAGTTAGAATTTAGTAAATATAAAGCTACCTGTCCAGAAGTGTTTCGTGCAAAAATCCATCTTTCCGAGCCTTTTTAAGAATTTTGCTGTCTTCTTTACTTATTTTAAGTTTGTGGTCTTGGAAGCTCTGAAATTTCTTTCTGTGAAGAAGGTCAAACTTTGATTATACCAGTACATGTTTACTGATGAAATCACAAATACTGTTTTTTTCATTTATTTTAAAAAAAATCCAATTGTATTTCTTTAATAACTTCCAGCACAGTAAAGATGTCCAATAAGAGGACCATTGTTTGGGTAGCTCCATAGGCCCACTTCTCCCAGGGCACATTGGCTGGAGTCCCCCGTGTCCTGGCTGTGATAGCATTTGGTAGCGTCCTAGCTATTCTATCAACGGACAGGGAAAACTGACTAATTCAAGTGCCCTGAGCTTTGAGAGCTAGCAGGCTAACTAGGAGAACTGAAGCCTTGAGGAAAGAAGCACATTCAGCTCGGCGCTCTGTCCTACGCTACAGTGTTGCTGCCTCTTGCTGTCCTTCAGGTATTTTATTTTAAAAGCACTTTGAGGGGGCCAGCAGGTGGCGAGGTGGTTAAATGCGCTGTACTCCCACATGACCAACTACAGTTCAAGTATTGGACCTGGTGGCTTGCTTTCTCACTTTCCCTCTCTGTCTCTCTCTGAACAAACTAGAAAATAATAATAAAGTTAAATAAAATAATTATTCTTTTAAAAAAAGCACTTTGAAAAAGCACTTCACTGACAAATCTGTAGATCTAAGAGAGGAATACATACACATAATTGATTTCACATTGTTTTACATTTCCTTTGTCTTCTTCTGGGATGTCATCCTTTTTCTTGGTTTCTCTTTCAGCACAGGATCTGATCTGGAGAGTAGAGATGAGAAGCCGACAGTTTACCCAATGATCTTCCTTCCCCACTTTACATATGTGTACTTCTGTTCTTTATAAAAGGAACTCTAAGTGATTTCTTATAGAAAAGAAGAAAACGTAGGAATTAAACTCAGAAAAAGACAGACTCTAGATATTGTTTTATTTCCCTTTATTCATGATAGAATGCAAGTGTGTACATGTGAGAATAAGAGAGATAAAGGAAAAAAGGGAGGGGGGAGAGAGAAGCATCCCCTACAGGTCTGATCATACTGAGATTCCCTTCTTCCAGTCCTCTAGCCTACTGTATTTCGGGTGCATGCATGTGTGCATATAATTGGAATGTTTCAGACTGGTCATCTGAAATGTGGTCAATACTAGGATCTGGCTTCTTTTAAGTAGTACAATACTGCTATGCCACAGAGCCAGCCCTGATGTGTGTTTTGACTTTTATACAATTATATAAATATTATTTTGTGCTTTTCCATAGCCCTTGTGTCAGAACACTAAAGAGAAATTTGAAAATAATTTTTACAAATGAGATCCTGCTGAGGAATTAAGAAATAATTTAATTTTGGCCTCAAAGTGAATATACTAGGACTAAACTATAATACCTTGAGTAGATAAGGTTTATTTTATTGGATTAAGAGCTTAAAACAGTAGGTATATTACTTTGTACAGGTTATTTCTAAATACACTCAAACTTTTAACACCAAACATTAACACTTGGTGTAACTGGAACCTGCTTCTTGTAAGTCCTCTTTCTACTCTCAGGTTTTGACAGATGTTTACTATTCATGTCATAAATGAGTTGATCCAGATACAGTTATGACATTCACAGAACTGGCAGTTTGACACACAGGACCCATGTCTCCAAGATGTTTTCTGTGGCCCCAAGTCTAATTCCGAGATTGTTGAGAAAGGGACGAGTAGCAAAATGTTTGTGCCAAAGAGGGGTCCTTGATGACCTGGGAACGTCCTGGGTAGGGCCTGTGATGCAGCACTACTTCTGGTAGGAGGATCTGTGTTATGGGGCGCTGACACAGACTACCAGAGCCTGCAATGTAATGGCAAAGAACAAGAGCTCTTGACAATCACTGCTCAGAGCTTCCAGGTACCTGACTAACCAGGCCTGGGAAAATTCGCTGTGATGAATGATCACACAATAGCGTCTCGTTCTGTCCAAGTGCAAAGTACTACACCTGTGTCTGCCTTTTTTTCTTTGATAAAACATTTTGATAATAAAATCCAGATGGGTAAGCCATAAATCCATTGGGATTTTCCTAGTGACCTATTTCTTGAGAAGTAGTGTGTTATAGAATGCGAGAGCAGCTTCTGGAGTCAGCTGGGCCTGAGGACACATCCTCTATCACATCAGGCTGTGTGACTCGTACAAAGTGATGGATCAAAACAGGGGATGACGTAAGGAGAGCCAAAAGTAGTTTTTCTTGTGAAATTAAGATAACAGTAGCTATTCTATCTTACAGGAACACTATCAAGGTTCAAGATAACAAGGCATGTGCTGACCTATAGTTTGGTTTAGTTTCATGGTTATGTAATTAAAAAATAGGACTTGGTCCAGTGACAGTGACACAGGCAGTAGAAGTGTTGTGTGATGCTGGAGGCCATTTGGGAAGGGTACAGGTTCACATCTTGAGTCTGCTTCAACTTGCCAGGCCCATAACCTTGGCTGGCTACAGGGCTGCAGCATGAAGATCCTTTCAAGATTACCTGCTTCTTTCCCTCTCTCTGGAAACAAATAAATGAACTTAAAAAAAATTAGGACTAACATTTTACTATTCACAATGTAAGTTTATATATATAAGAATATGTAAGTTTTCGGGGACCAGCAAGTGGCGTGGTGGTTGAGGCGCTGGACACTCCCATGTGGCTGACCACGGTTCAAGTCCTGGACCTGGTGGCTTGCTTTCTCACTTTCCCTCTCTCTCTTCCTCTCTCTGTCTGTGTTTGTCTCTGATCAAATTAAAATAAATGAATAAATAAAAATAAATAATTAAAAAAATACATTCTTAAAAAAAAAAGAGTATGTAAGTTTTAAATAGAAGTTATTTGATATTTCTTGACATTTTCCATAGATATTAAAAACTTGCCTGGAGTTTCGATAAACGATGGAAAATACACTAAAATTTTTAAGTCTTATGCTGTCTTCTAGAATGTCATTTTATCAACCAACTCCAAGTGATGCAATAAAAAATTGGTTGTATTACTATTCTTGTTTAAAAAGATTAACAATATTTCTCAAGGTAAAAGACAGTAAAATTAACTACTAATGTCAAGAATAAAAGCAAAAATTCAATATATGGCAGGGAATCTAACACAAAGCATATACAGACATTTGCTAGGTATTTTTATTTAATGTTTTTTTTAATTAAGTAAAAGAATTATATACTTAATTTTAGGTATCCTTACCATTTTTCAATTTGACTAGAGAGTAAGCAAGAGAAGGGAAAAGTGAGAAAGTAAGCCACCAGGTTCGGGACTCAAAGCACCATCAGCCATGTGGGAGTCCAGTGCTCTAACCACCAAGGCACCTGCTGGCCCCAGATAGGTATTTTTAAATTATGCTGGTAGTGGAGAAAAATGTAACATGGATTTTTAAGCTTTATCTATAAGGACTAAGGCCATTTTAGGAAAGGTATTTTTTCCCCATTTCCTAGAGCCTTTCACTCTGGCCCTATCTAAGGTGCTGCAGATGATAGATCTGGAATCAGAATAGCTGGAAACTAATTCAAAACAGACACACCAGGCAGAGCTCAGAATGCTCAGTGCTGGAGTGGAATGGCAAGAAAAAGAAAAACAACTCATCAAGAAGGTTGCACTTCTTCTAATGCATCGCATCTTCGTGTGTCATTAAAGGTGAAGTGGCTTTTGTTTTTTGTTTTTTGTTTTTTTTTTGGAGAGGTTTTTGCTATAGGGCGCATGTGCTTGCCAGACAGACAGAGAGAGACAGAGAGACAGAAAGCGAGAAATCACCCCCCAGGGAGGATGGCCACGCTACAATCCCTTCTCCTCCATTCTCCTCTTGGGACCTTGGGCACGCATGCACATGCACCTGGCGTGAGTTTAAGCCACTGGGTCCGGGACGCAAACCGCGGTCGACTACGTGGGAGTCCAGCAACATAGCCATTCCGCTAACTGCTGGTCCCGAAGTGGCTTTTGTAAGTTTAAAGAATTAAGCCATAAAAGGCCTTCATCAAATTCCAGTTAACTACCTGATTGATCTACATTACCTTGAAGTTTCATATGGAACGTTCCCATGAAGATGTCTATATAGGTTTTATGGTGAAGTAAAACAAAGAGTAGGATCCGGGAATGCAGCCTGCAATTAAGAACTTGTATTTCCAGCTTAGTGACCGATAGAAAAAAATTTTTTGTTTTGTTTTGTTCTTCTCATGTAAAAAAGGCTTGTATTTATTCCTAATGAGATAAATAATTTGAGGGCTTAATAGTCCTAGAAGTTCTGCTATGATGTTTATGTTTTATACAGTGACTAGCAACATGGACACACAAGTATTAAACGAACATAAGAATCTAGTCACTTCCTCATACATGCTGGTGGGAATTTAAGTTACTAAAGCCTCTGTGGAAAGCAACTTGACTACCTAACAACATAAAAACTGCACATTATCTCTTGACCTTAGAATTCTCCTTCTGGGAGTTTATCTCCAGATATACTTGCACACCTGTAAAATGATGCTTATTTTAAGTTTGTGCTCAGCATTCTTTGTTAAGAACAAGACTGGAAACAACCTGTACTTCTATAATATAAGACAATAACTAAATAAATTAGGTCTATCTATACCATAAAATATTATATAGCTGTTAAAGGCAGTGGAGATGTTTTACTACAAACTGAAAGAGGAAAAGTCTCCAAGGTACAATTAAGGAAAAAGCAAAGTCTAGAAGAGTCTGCACAGGAAGCTACCCTAAGTATAAAGTTGAAGATTATAAACATACGCACACATTTATAAAGAAATTTTAGGTGGCAAGGTGATTAAGGTGGCCTGATTCCCAGACGGTGGTTTGAGTCCCAGACTCAGTGGCTTGAAAATCACGCTAGGCAAGTGTATGTGAGTGCCCAAAATCCAGAGAGGAAAATGGAAGAGAAATGATTGTGGCTTGGCCGTCCCCTCTGCGGGGTGATTTCTCACTTTCCCTTTCTGTCTCTCTCCTCTCTGGTGAGTGCACATGCCCTATAGCAAAAACCAAAAAAGAGAAAAAAAAGTAAATCGTAGGAGGCTACACAACAAAGGGAGAGGGACAGGGACAGGTAGATGAGAGACAGGTGAACAAGGTGGATAGGAAATGTATGATTTTAAGTGTTTTTATTTATAAAATTTTGAACCATATGAACATATTTACCATTTAAAAATTTAAACTTTAAAATGCAGGGGGAAAAAAACCCACAGGCCTAGAAAGCACACATGACTACTCGGAAAATTATACAGCTACATGGAGGGAACAGGAAGGAGGCTGCAGATGCAGTAACTTCTCTACTACACTGGGCGAACAAACAATCGACTGTCAAGATTACAATAAAAAATACAGCCTATTTGGGGTATCACTGTATAAAAAGTTATTAAATCTCTAAAGTGACAGTAAAAGACTAGTCAGTGGTTTGGCGAGATGTTGTCATGTCGCATATGTGCTATCTACTAGTCTGTAGGAAAACGCCATGATTACCTTTATCATTTCTTCTTCTCCTGCTGTTTTATTTTTTGCTTCTATATCGCCTGCTTCATTGCATCTAATAAAGCAGCTATTTGAGGCCAGTAGAGCCATTTTACCCTAAATAACAACAAGAAACAGAACTGAGAATACCTGCAGAAGAAATCTTAAGTCTTTAGACAAAATTAATTCTTTTTCTCCCTGATTCTAAATTCGAGAAAAACAATTGGTAGAAAACCTGGGAAATACAAAAAAAAAACAAAACCAAAACCAAAAACAAACCAAAACAACAAACAAAACCAAAATTACCTGCAATCTTATTACTCAAAGGTGACGAAAATACACATTTTTACTAATATTCTTCTAGTAGGACTAAATTCTAAATGGATTAGGGATCTAACAGTGGTGCAGTGGTAAGTGCAACTAGACCGAGTGGGACAGTCTGGGTCTGGGTCCCGGGGCCCTCTGTGCATGTGAACCTGTATGTGTATGCCAGGATCCAGGCTGGATGATGCTGGGAGTGAACTGTGCTGTGGGTACTCTGTTGCAGGTATATGCCTCTCTCTCTCTCTCTCGGGAGAGAGAAATAAACTTTGGGAAAAAAATCATTAAAAAAAAAAAAAAATCCCAACTAGATGAAAGAGAACTGCTCCCTTTGGCATAAAAGATCTACTGAAGATATAAATGATTCAGTTCAGTTTTAAAAATTAGCATTAATGACAATAAAAAAATTGTGAATAATGTATAGTTTATTTAGATAATGGTGGTTTTTTTTGTTTTGTTTTTTAAAACAGGGTCTTGTCACATTATGGCTTCAAATTCTCAGCCCTCCTTCCTCTCCCTCTTAAGGGTGTAATGTAACAGGTGTGTGCAACTGTACCTGGCTCCAAGTGTTCAATATTTTTTTCTCCATAGTTAGAAAATATAAAAATATATCATATAAAAGCTAATCTTTAAGTACCTTCACATTTCTGTTAAGAACCAATGTCTGAGGGATTGTTACGTGTGGACAGAAACTGTCATGTTTAATGACTGATGTATTATACTGATTTCTATTAAACAAAACTTAGAAAACTAATTCTCTTGTTTATCTAAATCTGAATTATAAATTTGATTATTTAAATTCACCCAACAAGGGGCTGGCAGGTGGCGTGGTAGTTAAGGTGCTGAATTCCCACATGGCTGACAGCAGTTTGAGTCCCAGACTCGGTGACTTGCTTTCTTACTTCCCCTGTCTCTTGCTCTATCTCTTTGGTCGAATTAAAAAATAATAATAAATAATAACAAAATTAAATGAAGAAATAACTTTAAAAGATTGTTAAAAAATTCACATAACAAATGTTAGGTTTAATAACTCATATATGGTTGAAAATCTGGAATACCTTTAACATCAGACAAAATATTCACAAATATGCACAAATCAATCAATAACCTTTTATCATATTTGGTTATGAAAGTGCTACTAACCTGGATTTGACTTCATTTCTCACTCAGGGTGGCAGGGACTGTGTATCTATCATTTGAGTAACTCCTGGTGAGCATACATATGGCTGTACGGTCCAAGTGATTTGCGTTACTGACTTGGCGCCCTCCCCTTCTTTTGAATGTATAATTTGTAGTGGAGATGTAACAGTTGTACAGACTTACGGGCTACAGAGTGACTGTTTTCACATAATATGCAATGACATGCATACAGTGCGTAATGACCAAAGCACAGCAGTAAGCACATCCATCCTCTCAAACTTTTATCATTACTTTCTACTGGGAACTGAAATCCTTTCTTCCAGCTATTCTGAAACACACATTAAATTTTATAAACTATAGTTTCTCTACTGTGCTTTGGTGCTCTAGAAGCCACTTCTGTAACCTAATCGTAATTTTGCATGTCAACCACGTGTTCCCTAGTCTTCCTTAGATCTCCCCTTCCCAGATTCTGGTACCCACCATTTCACTCTCCACTTCTAGGTGATCAAATCTGCTAGTTCCCACAAACGAGAACATGTGTATCTGTCTTCCAGTGCCTGGCTTATTTTACGTAGCACAACTTCCTACAGGTTCATCCATGTTGCCTTGAATGACATGATTTAATTTTCTCCTACAACTGAACAATATTTGTTATACCAGAGGTTTTAAAGTTTCTCTTTTATCTAAATTTAATTAAAACAAAATTTTTTAGACATTTTTGCAATAGGGTGTATATGCCTGCCAGACAGACAGACAGACAGAAATTGAGAAATCACACCCCCCTCTCCCCCCAGTAAGGATGGCCACGCCACAATCCCTTTTCCTTTACTCTCCTTTCTGGATTTTGGGAATGCACACACACACGCCTGGCCTGAGTTTTAAGCTGCCGGGTCTGGGACTCAAGTGGTGGTCGACTACGTGGGAGTCCAGCGATATAACCATTATGCCATCTGCTGGTCTCTGAATTTAAATTTTCGAAACTTAGTGTCTTTCTTAAAAACCAGAATGAAATAAACTTTTCAAAGTCCTGTATGATTTATAGTATTTGACTCACCATCCTGGTCTTACAATACATTGATCTCCTCTGGTAGTATAATTTTTATTGGTAATTATCTCATTATAATTGGTAGGATCATCTAGGAGGGGTTAAAAACCATTACTGGACCAGGAAACTAATTCAGTGGTTCCTGACTAGTACTGGAGGAGGGAAAAAAGGAGACATATGGCCGAGCTACAGTGGCTCACAGAGAACAGCACTGCTTGAGGCTGGAATCCATCTGGGAAGACTGAGGTTGATTCCTGGGCCAAGCTAAACATCCCAGGTGCAGCTGCATGTGTGTACAATCTTAGCTAATGAGGAGGGTGGGCAGCAGGGTTAGGACACGGCCAGATCCAGTCACAGATACCTATCATCATCTGTCCCTCTTATCCTATTCCCTCTTTTCCTCTCTCATAAAGGGGGGAAAAAAGAAAAACATAGACATAAAAAAGAACAGAAAATATCAGAGTATATAACCCATAGATAAATAAGTATTGTTAGTACAACTTTTACTTCAGTTATACAAATCTGTGTACTGGACTGCAATATAAAATGTGTCTCTCACTGGGTTGAGGTACAAAACTAATTTGACAACTGCTGACTCTAGATTTTACAGGGGGTGGGGGTGAGTGAATGAGTCTAAATCATCACCTCATTTGGGGGGATATATGGCTAAGTGACCATTTTAGGAAACACTGTTGGATCCCATCTTGAATTCGTTATTGTATGTTACCTCCAGTACTACTCAATTACGGAACTTCTCTCCTACTTCACTGTTTACTTGGTCCTTACTATTTTTGATATAGCTAGTAGTTATGATTTTCAGACCTATTTAGCTCTTGTATACTTCTGTTCAATCTTTACTGCTTACACAAATAGAAAAAGGAAATGATGGATTCTTCTGTCAACAAAGACTCAACATCTGTATACTGCAACTGCTTACTACTGCAATTAATAAAAATATATTATCTTCATTCCTCTGTATTAAAACTATCTTTTGGGGGACCAGCAGTTAGTGTAATGGCTATGTTGTTGGACTCCCATGTAGTCGACCGTGGTTCAAGTCCTGGACCCGCTGGCTTAAACTCATGCCAGGAGTGTGTGCGTGCCCAAGATCCTGAGAGGAGAATGGAGGAGAAGGGACTGTGGTGTGGCCAGCCCCCCGGGGGGTGATTTCTCGCTTTCTATCTGTCTTTCTGGTGAGTGCATGCGCACTATAGCAAAAACCTCTCAAAAAAACCACAAAAAAACCCCATCTTTTTGTACAATATCTGCTTTTCTTTTTTGAATTTTATTATGAACTGAGTTTTAGACTCAATTGTCACAACTCGGCCCTAGCTTGTTCCACTGTACTCTTAACACAGTCTCTAAGGTTTCTGAAAGTGTTTATTTATTCCTGCTAATGAGACATTCCTGAAATATCCTGCTTTCCTATCGTGAGACTTAAAATTCTTAAAACTGGCAACTGTCTTAACAGACCTACTTATTTACTTTTAAAAAAAGTTTAGTTATTTTGTTATTTCTTCCAGGAGAGCCTAAGAAAGAAATTGGCCGGGGTGGAACGGGTCAGGGGAAGAGAGAGAGGGGCAGGCAATCCCAACAAGGTCACACAATCTATTACCAGCCAGCCCTGATCACCAGCACACATTTGTGGTCAGCATGCAGTGAGGCCCCAGGTGTGGGTCTAGTCATTACTGTGGAGACTCTAGTTCTTTGATGAAAAACAAGCGAGACTCACGTGCAGCCACCAAGGGTTTACAGAAATGATGGTTGGCAACAGTACTATCGTTATTTTTATTGTAGTATATTTTTAGAGTTTTTTTTTTTAGCAGTTTTAAGTTCACACAATTTTCTTCCCTACTTAATGTACTATATTATTGTACCCCACTTTGTGCTTTCTGTTTTTAGAAAGCACTCTTGCACTGACTGTCATGATCTTCTCTTACCCTAACAGGAAACTGTTATTAACAATAATTGTACTTACATCTTGGAAGACTGGTTCCCATTGTTCTCTTGGTCCAATTGCATCTGAACGCCCAACAACAAGTCCATCAGAATTTATACCAAGATACTTTCCATAGCCAGACTTCAGGGCAATTCTTTAGATTAATAAAATAGATAAATGTTAACAGATAAATGTCATTCTATGTTAAAAATAGAATACAAAAACAGCACATGTATGTATATTCAGGTGTGTGTAGTGTGTGTATAAGATAGGATTTCAGAGCCAGCTAGCTGGCTGTGTGGTGGTGAAGGCGCTGGAAGCCAGATGGTCAACTGAACAATTCAAGTCCTGGACCTGGTGGCTTACAAAACACACGGGGTTAGGGGTGGGGCAGCATTTGGCCTGGTGGTTAACGTGCCGAACTCCCACAATGCTGACCAGTTTTCTGAACCGGGCAGCCTGAAAATCATGCTGAGTACATATGCATGCTGCTCAGGATCGCCAGAGGAGAATAGAGAAGGGACTGCAGTGTGGCCATCCCCTCTCAGGGGTGGGATGGGGGGATTTCTCACTTTCTCCCTCTCTGTCTCTCTCTCTCTCCAATGAGCATACTTGTTGCCCCATGGCAAAAAATGTTTAAAAAACAAACACAACACAACACATTGAGTGCATGCCCACAATCTCAAGAGGATTACAAAGAAGGGATTGCAGCATGGCCCTACTTCCTGGAGGGTGATATCTCACTTTCCCTCTCTCTCGCCAGTGAAAATGTCTTATAACAAAACTTAAGGGCAAGACTTCAAAATGTTTATGGTAAAAAGAAATTTAAAGTGTGAGCTTATTCTGGTGCAAAAAATTTTGAAATCACATAGTTTTTTCATAATACATACTTTTCATGAAGTTTTGAAGCCCTCACTCTTGTGTATGTGTATTAAAAAAAAAATTCAGACTAAATATATACTAAGTATTTAAAAACTACATTTGGCTTTTGCTGCCATATTAGAAAGTGCAGTTCTACAAATACAAGTTTATGTTTCTTTACAATACAGGCATTAGAGAGTATTGGGTTGTCAGAAAAGTCATGACTTATTTTTGACTTTTCTGATAACCCAATATATGCTAGTTTGAATGTGTTACCCAAATTTTCATGTTGAAATTTGGTCGTACTTTTCATTGGGTGCTTCCTTCTTCCCAGGCCTCCCCATTGCATTCGGTTCATTGTGAGAATAAAAAATGGTCATCTAATAAAATGATTGTAAATAATGAATAATAACAAAGTCTTTTGATCTTTATGATTATGTAACATTCTCTCCTGATTTTAATGATATTCCTTTTTCTAGCCCTCCTGTTTGCATCTGACTGGTGAATTTATATTATCACAGCAATATTATAGCAAGTTTTGTCTTTTGTTTGTTTTTTTTTCACATGATCTTCCTAATCTATCTTATTTGGTCTATATTATAATCTTCATTTTTTTTTTTTGGTAGAGGTTTTGGCCTTGGGGTGCATGTGTTTGCTGGGGGAGGGGACAGAGAGAGAGACAGTGAGAGGGAAAGTAAGAAATCACCCCTCCTAGGGGGATGACCATGCCACAATCCCTTCTCCTCCATTCTCCTCACAGGATTGTGGACATGCATGCACATGCGCTCAGCGTGAGTTTCAGGCCACCCAGTCTGGGATACGAACTGTGGCTGGTCATATTGGAATTTAGATACGTAACCACTACACCACCTGCTGGCCCCACAATCTTTTTTTTTTTTTTTCACCTTACATGTATTTTTTAAAAATTTGCCAGAAGGTATACATGTTCACTGGAGAGACAGAGAGAAAGTGGGGGAGAAAGTGAGAAAGCACACTTCAAGGGGGATGGTCATGCTGAAATTCCTTCTCCATTTCTCCTTCCTTTCAGGATTCCAGCATGCATTGTGTGTTTTTCAAGCTGCTAGATCCAGGACTCAAACCGTGTAGCTGCCCATGTCGGATCCAGCTGCCTTAAGCACTACACTTCTGGCTGGCTCAACTCTCATATTATTTTCCAGCCTAATATTATAAATTGATAGGAATCAGAGTATATATTTTATATCTAGACTTTAATTCTCTTTTAAAAACACCATTATTCTAAGTTAAATTCAATATATCTAAATATTTAATAGGGTATGTGAATCACATCATATTTTAAAAATGTCAAAAAAGAATCCCCCTTTCAAAAAAGTATTTAGATTTTTAAAATTAAAATTACTGTGTGGGCTTCTATTACCTAGATACTGGAAATTTTTAAATAAATTGAAATTTAAAAATAAAAGCTATTAATTATAGTTCAACTCAAGCTTACCTGGAATCAGACAATTTGACAGCAGTAAATTGCTCTGGAGGACTGGGGCCCTCATCAACTACAGGGGACAAAACATTAGAAAATAAATTCAACATCTGTTATAAATATTTACACTCAAAGATATTCTTTTGCCTTTAAAATGTAGCTTTTAAAAAAATAAAATATTATATTCTGACATTATTATAATAATATGGCATTCATGGTTCAAGATCTATTTTACCATCTTATAATTACAGTACTAGTTTTACATTCTAATAATACAGGATCACTTCCAAGAAATTTTCTTTGTGTTTTAAGAGAGTACATAAATAAGCTTTTAATATTTACAAAACTTAACAGTTTCATTTATTCAAGGGATGGCCATTCTGGCCAAATGATACCATTTTTTACTTTCTAATTATTTCATACCTCATGAGTACGTCTTCTGATAGGCTAAAGAGAATGAGAAAACTTTAGACTGTTAACTATACCTGGGTTAGTTTTGGCTAAAGGTCTGAAGGAAAGAGAAACTCAAACGTTTGACTCATTCGGGTTTTCTTTTTCTACATACTATTTTAATTATGTATGCTGTTTTTAATTTCCACAGATATTCTTCTAGAACTTTTAAAATGCTTGTTCGAGAAAGCAGGAGTTGTCAACAGTTGGTAAATACTGAGAAAGAAAGGAGAGAAGCTAGGTGCAGCGGCTCTCTCCTTTTGGAACATGGCCTATGTGAGTGAATGTCATCAAGTAAATGTTTTAATTGGCCTTTTCTCTTCCACTGCTTCAGCCAGACACAAACCTTCTTTATGTGGTGCTCCCAGTGTGAAGAGACCATTGTCGAGTGCATGTATGTAAGTTCCTTTATCCATTTCAATGGCTATGGTTCCTGAGATTTCACCGAAGTTTGTTACTGTCCACCAGACTCCTAAAAAACAAAATTAGCATTTAAACTGTATTTTATACTCAATACGGATTCTTTTTAGTTACTGCTTTTTACAACCTTTTTATTTTGCAGCTGTAAGAAAATAAAATGAAAAGTTCTATTTTAGATACTATTCACTCCCTTTTTCCCTATGGTAATTTAAAAATTATTATTATTTTTTTTAGATTTCTTTTACCATAAGGGACGCCCCTTATGTGTACCAGAGACAGAGTAAGAAAAAGAGAAATCATCCTGCAGGGGGGAAGGACACACTGCAATCCCTTCTCCATTTTCCTCTCGGGATTTCAGGCATGCACGCACATGCACTGGGTATGCTTTTCAAGCTGCCGATCTAAGACCTGAATTGCAGAGTGGGCCATGTGCAGTCTAGCACTCTAACCACCGGGCCACCTGCTGGTCCCTCCTATGGTAACATTTTACATAACTATTGTACCATGTCAAAAATAGGACGGTGACATTGAAAAAATCCACGAACCACAAGTTTAATGTGCCTATATGTGTATAAATTCATGTGACTACCACCACAGCGAAGTCATGCTGGGCATGTGAGAACAGAGAAGGGACTGTGGTGTGCCTATCTCCCTGGAGGATGATTTGGCACCTTCCCTCTCACAATTATTCTCTCTCTGGCAAGTACACATGCCCTATCGCCAAAAAAAAAAAAAAAGACTAAAAAAAATTCTATTTATAACAGCATAGAATTATAAAATACCTAAGAATAAATTTTAGGTGCCCATGTGGCACAGTGGTGGTGTGGCTGGACCTCCATAGGAAAGGTCCTATGTTCACATCCCAGGACCTCCCTAAGCACATGACCTAGACCAGCTAAGACTGGAGGATTGTGGTGTGAGGACCCCACACAGGCGCCTATTTCTCTCTCTCATGGAAGAAATAAAAACAGACAAAAGCTAAAAACTTAAAACATTTGTTAAGAAAGACATCCAAGATGGTTACACTGAAAACTATAAAAACTTTTTTTTTTACTTCATATCTAACCATCTTTTTACATTTATTTTTTAAATTTACATTTAATCACTATGTATCTTTGGTTCTCAAAGTATAAATACATCGGATGTCAAGCAAGTCAGAGATAATACTTTACACAATAACTTTCCATACTTGTGTCTGTTACATGTTTTTGTTGTTGTTGTTTGAGACTCAGTAATGTTAAGATGTTGAGTCTCCTCAAATGATCTGGATTCAATAAAATTCCTCCAGAAAATCCAGTTTGCTTTATTGTACAAATTAACAAACTGATTATAAAATTTATATGGAAATGCAAATGACCTAGAGTATAGAGTAATTAATCTTGAAAAAAAGTACAAAGTTGGAAGACTCACACTATCTCATCTAAAATCATTATGAAGTTATCATAATCAAGACAAATATATCAATAGAACAATGAAAAAAATGTATCAATGGAACATAGAGCCAAGAAATAGGCCAATACTTAGCAAGCCAACTGATTTATGGCAGAGACACCTCAACTATTGAATGGAGAAAGGAACATCCAATTAACTGAAGCAATTGGATACAATATGGAAAAAACAAACAAAACAAAGAACCTACTTCACATTTTGCCAAAAAATTAACTTGAGATCGAAAGCAGATCTAATGTAAAAACTAAAACTATGATTTCTCTAGAAGAAAACATAGAGAAATATTTTTGTGACTTCGGGGTAAGCGAAGTTCTCTTGGATTAGAGATCTAAGGTGGTAATCACACACAAAACAAACAAACAAAAACCCCCAAAAAACTGAGCTTTATAAAAACTAAAGACTGGGGACCAGCAGATGGTGTAATGGCTACATCCTTGGATTCCCATGTAGTCAACCGTGGTTCAAGTCCTGTACCCGGTGGCTTGAACTCACGCCGGATGCATGTACATGCGTGCCCAGGATCCTGAGAGGAGAATGGAGGGAAGGGACTATGGCATGGACATTGCCCTCGGGGGATGATTTCTTGCTTTCTGTCTCTCTGTCTTTCTGGTGAGCGCGCATACCTTATAGCAAAAACCTCTCAAAAACAAAAACAAAACAAACAAAAAACAAACAGACAAAAAAGGACTGCTGCTTGTAATAAAAACACCATTAAGAAAATGAAAAGGCAAACTACAGACTGGGAGAAAAGACTGGTAACACCATCAACTGTTGGCTAGGCTATGGAACAACTGGAATCTAATTTGTCCTTGGAGAGTAAAACGGTCCAACCTTAGAAAAATTTTGGCAGTTTCTTATACAGTTAAATATTCACCTACCCTTTCATTCAGCAATTCCACACCTATACACTGAATCAAGATATTTATCTTAATTTTAGAACTGTTTATTTTTTAAACGGGATCTCAACAAAAAACATTTCTCAGAATAAAGTATCGAAATGACTTACCAACAATATCAAGTTGGGTTTCTTCATCTTCTTCTCTTTTTCTCTTCTTATCTTTGTTCTTTTTCTTCTTACTATAGGAAATCATTTGTATAGATGAGTTTACATATATTGATATTATATTAAACCAAAGCTTAGAAGAGTATTTTAAGTTGGATGTTCATTTATAAATCATTGATTTATGATAATTAACACTGATATATCCTCTTTTTTACACTAGGTTGTCGGAAAAGTCATGACATACTTTTTCTATGCAAAAATGCATCATGACTCTTCCTACCACCCAATAGTATTGGGAAGTTGCTTCTGTCCCTAAACGTGCTGTGTTATAGCTAAGAGCAGATTCTGGAGCCAGATTGCCTTGTTTTAAATCCCAATTCTGTCACTTAATCCTGTGCATTTTGAAAATGATACTTAATTTTTCTGTGAGTCAGTTTCTCCACTTATAAATATAGTAAGGACAGTAACTTAACACAATTCTTAAGATTATTGTGAAGACTGGGACCATTAGACTTCAACATGGCCTACTGCAGTTCAAGTCCTGAACCTGGTCACTTGAAAAATCATGCTGGGCACGTGGGTGTGTGTGCCCAAGATCCCAGGAGGAGAATGGAGGAAAAGGGATTGTGGTGTTGTTATTACCCATCGGGGTGATTTCTCACACTTTCCCTTTTGCTGTGTCTGTCTGTCTCTGGTGAGTGCAAGTGTCCTAAAGCAAAAACCTCTCAAAAAAAAAAAAAAGATTATTGTGAAGATTAGGAGTTAGGGACCAGCAAGTGGCATGGTAGTTACTGGATACCTAAGAAGCTGACTGCAGTTCAAGTCCCAGACCTAGTGGCTTGCTTTCTCACATTTATTCTCTTTCTCTATGAGTGTGTGTGTCCTACAGCAAATTAAATAATAATAATAAATAAAATAAAATAAATCTTATAAAAAAAAGAAAGAAAAGAGTTAATATGTGAGGCCAGTAAATGGCAGGGTGATTATATCACTTGGACTCCCACATGGCTGACCGTGGTTCGAGTCCTGGACTCATTGGCTTGAAATTCACACCGGGCACGTGTGTGTGTGTGTGTGTGTGTGTGTGTATGTGTGGCCAAGATCCTGGAGAGGAGACTAGATCAGAAGGGACTGCCCTGTGGCCATCCCCCTGGGGGTGATTTCTCACCTTCCCCCCACTGTATCTGCCTCTCTGTCTCCAGGTAGCACGCGCACCCTATACCAAAAACCTCTTAAAAAAGGGGGGGAGAAGTTAAAATGTATGTTCACACATTGCTGGTGGAATGTAAAATGGTGTAGCCTCTTTAGAAACAGTCTGAGGGTTCCACAAAGAGTTAAAAACAGAGGTACCATATGACCAGCAATTCCACTCTTAAGTATATATGTACACACAACAGAATGAAAATATATCAGAAGTCTTAAAAAAGTTAATGAACGTATGGGGACCAGCAGTTAGCATAATGGTTATGTCACTGGACTCCCATGTAGTTGACCGCGGTTCAAGTCCCAGACCGAAATCCACACCGGCATGTCCCAGTTATGTAAGAATATTCACAGTAGCATTATTCATAATGGACAAAAAAGTGAAAACCACCCAAATATCCATGAACTGAAAAATAGACAAAAATGCATTACAGCCACATAATGGAACAAGTTGTATTACATATTATTCGTCCATAAAATGGAATGAGAACTGTTAAAAGCTATGATAAAAATAAACTTCAAAGACCAGCAGTTGTTGTTAACGGCTATGTCACTGGACTCCATGTAGTTGACTGCAGTTCGAGTCCTGGACATGGTGGCTTAAACTGCCGGGCGCGTGTGCGTGCATGCCCAAGATCCCAAGAGGGGAACGGAGAAGAGATTGTGGAGGGGCCATCCCTCCGGGGGGTGATTTCTCACTTTCTGTCTCTCTGTCTCTTTCTAGAAAGCACACATGCACTATAGCAAAAACTTTTCTCAAAAAAAACACAAAAAACAAACAAAAAACCCAAAACCAAAAATCTTTAAAATACCATTCTAAACAAAAGGCAGCCAAGTATTGTATGATCCATTAATATGAAATAGTTGGAATAGGCAAATCAGTATGGACAGACACTAGATCAGTGTTTGCCAGAGAGTGGAAGGAGAGACAGTGAATGTGACTACTTACTGAGTATGGGGTTTCCTTTCAGGATGCAAATAGATCGTTGTAAACTATGTGCATTTACTAATAACCACTGAATTATGCACTGGAAAAGGGTGATTTTGTGCCAGCAGGTGGCGTGGCAGGTAAGAAGCTAAACTCCCACATGGCTAATAAGGGTTCAAATCACAGACCCGGTGGCTTGCAAATCAAGCCAGCTGGGCATGTACGTGCACCCAAAATCTGGTGAAGAGAATGGGGAGAAGGAACTGTGCTGTGGCCATCCCCCCCAGGGGGTGATTTCTTACTTTCCCTTTCTCAGTTTCTTTCTGGCCAGTGCATGTACCCTACGGAAAAAAAAAAAAAAAAAAGAAAAGAAAACCAGAAACAAACTAAGAAAGGATAAAAGAAAATAAAAGGGTGAATTTTATGGTATATAAACTAAATTTCAATAATGGAGAAAAAAAAATTCCAAGAGTTATTTAGAAAAAGTTAGTATCAAGTTAATATCAAGTTAATATGCAAAGTGCTTGGGAACAACTCTAGGCACACAGAAAGCTGTACAGTTGTCTTAATTATGACTGGTAGTAATGATAATTGTAAGACATCCTTGTTTGCATTTTAACCATAAAATAAGATTTCGATGCTTACTCTCCTCCCTCTCAGCAAATTCAGAAAGTAAATTCATATTTATTCAAGATAAATTATTCATGGAAGAGTTCTCAAGGGCCTGGCTCTGGCTTGCTCCTTTACACTTTCTTTCCACCTCCCCTAAAAGAAGCAAAAATTCTGAGTCCAGAGGGAACTGCTCAACATTTGTACAAAAGAACAGTCAACTCCAGGGAAATCTACCAGTTTAAAACAGCTGTGGAGGTGGCCTGGTGGTTGAGCTGCTGGACTCCCACATGACTGACCAGGGCTCGGTCCAGAACCTGGCAGCTGGCCTGCTCATTTTCTCTGTTCAAATTTAAAATAAATAAATACATAAATAAATAAAATAACAACTCTTAAACGAAAAAGAGCTGACACTATCAGTGATATGTGGGACAGGGTCCCCTAAAACTCTAGTAATCACGAATTACCATTACAACCCTGACCTTACACTTGGCTCTGAGTACTTACTGCACACACGATATCGCATTTACTCCTCATAAAAACTCTTTATTCTCTTTTTTTTTGGGGGGGGGGCAGGTTTCTGCTATAGGGTGCATGCGCTCGCCAGAAAGAGAGAGAGAGAGACAGAGACAGAAAGCGAGAAATCACACCCCAGGGGGGATGGTCACGCCGCAATCCCTTCTCCTCCATTCTCCTCTCGGGATCTTGGGCACGCGCAACACACACCCGGCGTGAGTTTTAAGCCACCGGGTCCGGGACTCGAACCGCGGTCGTCTCCATGGGAGTCCAGTGACATAGCCATTACGCTAACTGCTGGTCCCATAATAACTTTTAAAAGTAAGAACGAGTAAACGAAAGTTCAAAGACATAACCCAATTTGCCACAACCAACCAGATCACTGGCTGGGGGGGGGCGGCCCGAGCGCGTCCCGGTCCACACCGCCTCGGCCCAATTCCTCTGCGCGCTTTTCAGAGACAGATTAGGCAAGACGCGGACGGTGGGGCGGAAGACGGCGGTGGAAGTAAGGACCCCCACGAGGGAAAGCCCCAGTTCCGACCCAAGTGATCGGACTCACGCAAGGACCCAGCACCGGACCGCGGGCCTCGGTCCCGCCCGCTCCCTCCCCGCCGCCGCCCTCCGACAGGGCGGGCCGTCTCCGCGCGAGCTCGGGCCTCACCTCTTCGCCTTGGTTCCCTTGAGCACAAGCTTGGTGGACTTCACGTAGGAGTACTCGGCCATGCTGCTCAGGACCCGCGGCGCCGCGGGCTGGGAACCGCTCAGCACAAGGCGCCTGGACGCGCCAGGGCCGGGCCGCGGACGCGCAGAGCTGGAGCAGGGAGGGTTCAAGAAGGCCTACGCCGCCGGAGCGAGAGCCTCGGTCAGGAACCCCTTTCCTCTTTCACCCGGACAGTGAGTGCCCCACAGCGCACTCCACTTCCTGTTTACTGTCGCGGAGCTACGGTCACCGCCGAGGGTCTCAATACTTCAGCGTCCTTTTGCGCCCTCTTGCGGAACTCTGGAATCTAGGGCTTCGCCAACCGCGGAGACTGGGAGGCCTGCGCCCTCTGGTGGCCTCGGCGGGGCCAGC